ATATTTTGAAAATGACACTATTTATTAATTGATATTAACTACATTTAAAAGGATATATAAGTTTACGTCTGCATATTCAATGACGCATACATAATAATTTAAATGATTATGTAGAACCTAATATAAATTTTCTTAATATTCTTTTATCCATTCGAACACATCCTGCAAATAAAACACGACATACTCCCTGTATATTATTCGTCATGGAATACTTTTGGAGGCCTGAATATACCCAAGATTAAAGCATAAATGATATCAGGAAAACAGTACCTATTATTGCCTTACATGACATTTCGCATAAAACTGCACACATACGAAAGATAAACCTGAACCTCGCTCTTCTTAGCCGTGGCCCTATTGATATGAAAGCATATCAACTATTAAAGCTTAAACTCTATATTGTTTTCTATGGCAGTCGTGTAGATTTTCAATATTATTGCTAGAGCAGGACGATCTGGTAAAAATGTTCGTGTTTTCCTATATTGCCGAACTGTAAGAGATATTTCTTAGAATCATATCATAATCACAAACGTAGAATTATGCTACATTACATACCCCCATAACCAATGGGAAATGAAAAGAAAACGCGTACATGCATATATATATTATATATATATATATATATATATATATATATATATATATATATATATATATATATATATATATATGGTTAGTTGCACAGGTTGGCTTTCTTGGCAGGAAACCTAAGAAGTGTTCGTTTTCTTTCTTTCTTTCTTTTTTCTTTCCGAAATTTAGGGAAACCAGAAACCACGCAAAAACCGAATTAAGTGGCATAAAATCATACCAAGAATTTCGTTTCGTTAAAGACACGTACAATATTCTCTTGCGGAACTCGAGGCCCTCAAATAGGACTAATGCTTATCGATACGAATCTAAAAAAAGAATATAAGCGTAACGCCATGTACGCTATCTCGTTATCAGCGAGATAACGAGATAGCGATACCATTGGTTGGAAGTATTATCTTAGTCGCTTGTTATCAGTGCATACTCTTTCTCTCTTTGCCGAAATAACAAAAGAAATTAAAAAGACCCATATCCTGGAGTTGAATGAAGGGCTGTTAAATGATAATAATAGTGATCTATCTACACACACACATTATATCTGTGTGTGTGTGTGTGTGTGTGCATGTATGTGTGTGTGTGTGTATGTGCGTGTGTGTGTGCGTATATATATATATATATATATATATATATATATATATATATATATATATATATATATATATATATATATATATATATATATGTGTGTGTGTGTGTGTGTGTGTGTGTGTGTGTGTGTGTGTGTGTGTGTGTGTGTGTGTGTGTGTGTGTCTGTGTCTGTGTCTGTGTCTGTGTTTGTGTGTGTTTGTCTTTGTTTGTGTGTGTGTGTGTCTGTGTCTGTGTACGTGTGTACGTGTGTGTGTGTGTGTGCAAGCAGATGTCAACGAATAGAAAGCCTATCACCATATAAAAGAAAAGCAAGACGTAAATATCTTGGCCACGATAACAAGATCACTGTGGGAATGCGGTACGGAGGTCGCTGCTCCCCTGCGCGGTATCTTTTTGAAAAATATATCTTTTCTTACCTTTTTTCTCGGTATCTTTTCTTACCTTTTTTTCGAATAAATACTTTGTTTCGTCAGTGGTTTTTGTTTTTTTGAATGTTTGTCTTGGTAGGATGAGGGTTTTTTTTATCCTGTTGGTGACCCATGGTTTGCGTGTGGTACTCCTGTACACACACACACTCACACACGTACACACACACACGTACATACACATACATACACACACACACACACACACACAAACACACACACGCAACATACACACACACACACACACACATACACACACACACACACACACACACACACACACACACACACACACACACACACACACACACTCACACACACATACACACACAGACAAAAAGCAGAACCATGACTAAGGAACATTATTGTTACGAAGAAAAAATAACATAAAACGTGATTAGATAAAATGGGAAACAACAACAACAAAAATGGTCAACATTTAATTAGTAAATAGAGTAACAGAGCGGAATAAAAATAAGGGACAGAAACATTGAGAAAAAAAAAAACAACATACGTATAACGGCGAAACATGCCTAACACTATATACATATATATATATATATATATATATATATATATATATATATATATATATATATATATATATATATATATATGTATATATAACATATTATATATATATATATATATATATATATATATATATATATATATATATAATATATATATAGATAGATAGATAGATAGATAGATAGATATATATATATATATATATGTATATATATGATGTATATATATTTGCATATGATATAGATAGATAGATAGATAGATAGATAGACAAATTGATAGAAAAATAGATAGATGAAGATATAGATATAAATGTGATTACACATATATTATATATATATATATATATATATATATATATATATATATATATATATATATATAATATATATATATATATATATATATATATATATATATATATATATATATATATATATATATATATATATATATATACATATGTATGATGTATGCATGCATACATACATACAAATGTATTTCATATGTGTGCGTAGATATCGATAGATAGATAGGCAGCTGGTCAGAAAGACACTGACGAAGGACCATCTTCCAAACCCACACTCCTCGCCAGGCGGTGTCGTGAGCAGCCACCCGGGGACCTTCTACCACTACGAGCCTCTTCACGACTTCGGCGTCAAGCAGATCCGGGAGGAGGCGGCCCAGGCGGTGCGGAACCTGAGGCACCTTCTCGACTGCGAATACGGCGAAATGGGTGAGTTTCTCGGGGAGGGGCGAAAGGGGCAGATGTGTGTGTGTGTGTGTGTGTGTGTGTGTGTGTGTGTGTGTGTGTGTGTGTGTGTGTGCGTGCGTGCGTGCGTGCGTGTGTGTGTGTGTGTGTGTGTGTGTTACTTATATGCATAGCTCCGTTTTAAGACTATTTAAGGCCATGGATGTCAATATATATATATATATATGTGTGTGTGTGTGTGTGTGTGTGTGTGTGTGTGCGTATGTGTGTGTGTGTGTGTGTGTGTGTTTTGAACTCCGCACTCAAGCAGGCGCCTTGCCCTTCCCAGAGCACTTGATCGAACACGGCCGTTCCTTCAAGTGTGTGTTCAACCAAAACAAAGCCCTGTGGAGTCAGTGTAAGACGCTCCCCGACCTGTGCCGGAAGCCGGAGTTCCTGTCGCCCTTCTGCAGCCTCTTCCCCTTCCAGTCCCTCAAGACGGTCCGACTCAGGCTCAATCTCACGGAGGAACTGCTGGAGGACAAGAAGTAGGCCTTTTGTTTACTCTCTTCTCGTGGATAGAAATCAGCTGACTGGACATGTCTAAATCGTGTGATGCGTCGTAGGCCTTTGTTTACTCTCTTTTTCTGGATTGAAATCATCAGCTGATTGGACATGTTGCCAACACGTCTAAATCGTGTGATGCGTCGTAGGCCTTTTGTTTACCTTCTTCTCGTGGATAGAAATCAGCTGACTGGACATGTTGCCAACACGTCTTAATCGCAACTTTCGCAGGTTGGGCGTGCGGCTGCTGTATCTGGTGCGGGATCCTCGGGGCACCTTGCACTCTCGTCGGAACAAGAACTGGTGCTCCAGGAAGGACTGCAACGATCCAGAGACGCTTTGCAAGGATCTCGTCAGGGACTACATCACGGCGTCTGTCTTCAGGAGGAAGTTCCCGAACTCCTTCAGGTAGAATTTCTCTTTTTCTGTTTTTTTCTATCTTTCTCTCTTTTTATTTTATTCCTCGCCTTTTTTCTATTCTCTCTCTCTTTCTTTCTCTTTCTCTCTTCTCTCTCTCTCTCTCTCTCTCTCTCTCTCTCTCTCTCTCTCTCTCTCTCTCTCTCTCTCTCTCTCTCTCTCTCTCTCTCTCTTCTCGCTTCTCGCTCGCTCCCCTCCCGCCCTCCCTCCCAACCCTCCCTCCCTCCACTCTCTCTCTATCTATCTATCTATCTTTCATCCATCTCTCTCTCTCTCTCTCTCTCTCTCTCTCTCTCTCTCTCTCTCTCTCTCTCTCTCTCTCTTCTCTCTCTCTCTCTCCTCTCTCTCGCTCGCTCGCTCGCTCTCTCCACTCTCTCTCTCTCTCTCTCTCTCTCTCTCTCTCTCTCTCTCTCTCTCTCTCTCTCCCTCCTTCTCTCTTCTCTCTCTCTCTCTCTCTCTCTCCTCTCTCTCTCTCTCTCTCTCTCTCTCCCTCCCTCCCTCCTCCCTCCCTCCCTCCCTCCCTCCCCTCTCTCTTTCTCCCTCCCTCTCCTCCCTCCCTCCCTCCCTCCTTCCTTCCACTCACTCACTCACTCACTCACTCACACACTCTCTCTCTCTCTCTCTCTCTCTCTCTCTCTCTCTCTCTCTCTCTCTCTCTCTCTCTCTCTCTGAATTCTTCTCCCTCCTCTTTAGCTTCTGCTTTTCTTTCATCCCCTGATAATTATAGTTATTATTATATCCATTGTTGTTATCATCATTATAGTAATCATAATATTAGTTTTTATTATCATCGCCATCATCATCTTATCTATCAGCAGTAGCATTATTGATAAGACATTTGACATATTGGAACCTAAGTATTTGAGAATTTAATCCTTTTTAACCCCCCCCCCCCTTTCGTCTTCCCCATTTTGAACCATATAATTCATTTATTTTTTCTACTAATCTTGAGTTCTTTGTCCTTTTCAATACAAAAAGTTTTGAGGTGTCTAACGCTATGTTTTTGTAATCCTGTGTTGATACTTGTATTTCAGGTTACTGGGAACTTTTACAATTATTACACTGGTATGTCCTCAGCCCCATCTCTCCTGCTTCTATTTCACTTCTTCCCTGGTAGTCTCTCTCAGAACTCCAATGTCCGCAAATAGCATATCCTATGGAGCTGCTCGTATTATTTCCGGCTTGTGTAAATCTATTATCAAAAATATATGTGGACTCAGAGACGAACCTTGATGAACCTCGTGAACTTTTTTGTTCTACCCATACAAGGCCCGTGTTCTTGCATCCTGTTATGTATCTTTCACTAATTTTGTTTACGTTTCTGATACGATTTTTTTTTTATCTCATACACCTCCAATATCCTCTCTCGGAACGCTATTAATAATAGTAATAAATAATTCTTACCATTAGAGTATTGACCATAATGATGATTATTAATGTGAGTATAACGATAATTATGATGGCGAGTAGCTAATATATACGAATGAAACTGATGATAATCAATAATTATAATTTCTAAAACTATCCCGTCTTTCACTCTCTCTCTCTCTCTCTCTCTCTCTCTCTCTCTCTCTATATATATATATAATATAAATATATATATAATATATATATATATATATATATATATATATATATATATATATATATATATTATATATATATATATATATATATTTTTTTTTTTTTTTTTTTTTTTTTTTTTATAAACAGCACAAACTCGCAACCACATCTCATTCCTTTTAAAAGGCTAAGCGATCCTTTCAACGCTTAATCTCTTTAACTTTTTATCCCTGATTCCGTCCCTTCACTCACTCACTCCCTTCCACCCACAGGGCTGTCCGATACGAAGACATTTCCTTCAACGTCTTCCACGAGACGAAGGAACTCCTGGACTTCTTCCGCCTCGACTTCCACCCCGACATTCAGAAATTCCTGCAGACGCACACCGCCCGCTCGAAAGGGAACGCCTACAGCACCTTCAGGGACTCGAAGGCCGCCCCCGTCCACTGGCAGAAGGAGATGCCCTGGGAAAAGGCGCAGCGGATCCAGGGCGTGTGCGAGAAGGCCCTGCGGCTGTGGGGGTACGAGTTGGCTGAGGGCGAGGAGCACCTTCGCTCGTTCATGCCCGTGGGTCGCTTGGAGTTCGCTTAAGGATGTCTCTTGTCTGCCTTCTCGTTTCTTTTTTTTTTATCTTCTCTTCTCTTTTTTCTCTCTTCTCTTTCTTTTCTATTCTTTCTCTTTTTTCTTTCTTTCTTTTCTCTTTCTTTTTTTATCTCTTCTCTTTCTTTTTTCTCTCTTCTCTCTTTTTGTCTCTTTTCTCTCTCTTTTCTCCTCTTCTTCTTCTCTTTTTTCTCTCTTTTTTATTCTTCTTTTTTCTCTCTTCTTCTCTCTTCGAGAATCACCAAACTACGACTCTCACTCACTATGTCAACAAATGAAAGCCAAAAAGATAATTTAGACAAGCAGGTAAACGTTTTTGCAGAAGTGACTAATGATAGTATAGGTGCCATTGCTTCCTTTGTTACAAAGAGTGTTATACATCTTCCTTTTCTATGAACAAACGACATCAAGAGAGCCATAGCAGACAGAAATAGCCCTTATAAAGCTCTAGGAAATGATAGATTGGACATACCCCTTCATTCCGATTACAAAGCAAGCCGACTATTTCAGGAATAAATTAATTAGTAGAAAAAAAAATCGTGAGAATATTTCAGCAAAACCGATTATATCTTTCGGTGTTCCACAAGGATCGATATTAGGCCCAATTCTGTTCACAATGTTCGTAAATGATCTATCAACCATAGCCCAAAGTTACCTTCTTGTTCATTACGCCGATGATTCACAATATCTCCATAGTGATTTATTAAACAACTTGGTAAAAAGACCCAAGAGACGCTGGCACAAGTAAAATGATATTTAGACGCAAATGCCTATAAGATAAATTTAAATAGAACAAAACGTATCTTCGTGGGTTGTTGCCAAAAGATTCTACCATAAAATTTGAAGACTAGTACATAAAGCTGAGTACTTCCTTAAAAAAAAAAATATTAGGAGTACAAATTGACAAATTCACGATATATTAGACCCATGTTGATAACATTCACATAAAAGTAATGGTCACATCGAATAAAATAAAACTAGCTCTCAATATCATTAATTATTGCTCAAGCACATGGGGTACAACTAATTAAAAACTATTCCAGTAAATTCAAAAACTTATAAAACTTTCCTTTGGGAGTAGCAATTGATACAGAATATATGAAGACCACATTACCCCACACACAAATTAAAAAGTTGGCTAAAGGTTCAGTATAAATGCATATATGATACTTTAAGGATATTGTCCAAAGCAACTTTAGACTCTTCTAACCGTAGGTAACACAACCTGTATCCAAACAAGACAGGTAAATTTTACATGTCAAAAAATTACATACAGATATAAGGTCACGACAAATATAAACACATAAACCCATGATCTATAACGAATTACTTCATAACTTCAGAAATATTAAGAACTCAAATGAATTCAAAAAGGAGATATCTCTTAAATAAAAAAGGGATATTTCTTAAATCAGCAATGGCATCAGGTTTCAAAACATAAACAAACTTATTTGTAATACTTTCATTAATTCATTGCGTATTTTATGTTTATATCTACTGTAAAATTACTGTTTTTATGTAATAAGGATAATCATTGTAATATAATAAAAAAGATTGAATTTAAATTAACTCCTACATGTGTATATATATAACTCATTTTCCTATTTGTAAATTTAATGTCTTGTTCTAATTGTTTACTAGCATCGCTTTTCGAACGATATCTTTTCCCAAATACATCGCGTGAAAGGGAAAGATTGTTTCAATCACTGATAACTGCAAATACCAGTATTATATTGATACTGGGTGATTATTATGCAAGCCTTAATGATGCCATCTATCGCGAGAAGGAACAACTCCGCGCTGTAAAGGCCATTTAAAATGAAAACATGAAAAAGAACTGTCATTGTTCGTATCTCATTCTTGTGCGCATATTAATAATGCTTTACTGACATTCCTCGGGGTTTCATCGTGTTTGTAGAGGGGGTTTCAGCAGCAGCAAGGCGATCAGCTGCAAGAATATAAATTTCATTTCCTTTAACAAAATATTTTGACATACCCATATATTTTTTTTCTTTTCTTTTTTTGTGGAATGCCTTGGTTATCGCTTGGCAATTGCTTTTTTTGGTAATTAAAAAACACAGCTATACATCGGGAATCTTTACACCTTATCTTTCAACCTGAGACTGAAACTGACAATGTGTAACAGTTCATGTCCATTGTGTGGTTAGTTTTAAATGTTCTTGAAATGTGGAATTGTGACACACACACACACACACACACACCACACACACCACATCCACAACACACACACACACACATCACACACACACACACACACATACATATATATATATTATATATATATATATATATATATATATATATATATATATATATATATATATATATATATATATATGCAGATAATATATATTTATATACATATATTACATACATACTATATATATATTATATATATATATATATATTATATATATATATATATATAATATATATACCACACACACACACACACACACACACACACACACACACACACACACATATATATATATATATATATATATATATATATATATATATTATTATATATAGTATATATATATATATATGATATTATGTTATATATGTATGTATGTATATATATATACCCGTATATATATATATATATATATATATATATATATATATATATATATATATCTATATATATATATATATAATATGCTGTACTATACCCGTACTACAGAGAGAATTATTTCATTTAAAAAAAATTGGAAGGCAGGCGCTCTATACGTTATCAATTTGATATAGTTTGCCAGAAAATAGAACAACGTTTTCTCTTATATTGTGTTTAAAGAAAATGAAGATATATTTGGTTAACTCTATCAGAGACTGAGTCAAAAAGTGTGTTGGCTAGAAATGGAAGAGAGAGAGAGATAATAAGAGAAAGAGAAGGAGAGACAAAGAGAAAGAAGGGGGGGGATGTTCTAGGAGAGGAGAGAGAAGGAAAGAGGGAGAGATTGCGTTAGAGCATACAGTACATATGTGTGTGTTACTCTATCTATGTATCTTTCGCGAGAGAGAGAGAGGGGGGGGGGAGGGGGGAAGACGCATGTGTTCAGACAGAGAAAAAAAGAGAAAAATTACGTAGGACCAGAATAAAAAGGACAATTCACTCAATATGCCAGATCATACAATCATTCTTCCATCTGGCACTACCAATGGAGCAACCGTGGAAAAAAAATGATAAATCGATATATTTAAAATCGAGGTACAAACATTACATAATATTACCTAAATCTTTACTCTTATTTACATGTGTACCTTATATGTGTAGAGAAACGAAAAGGGAAAAATCCATGGATATAATGATACAGATTAACTTCCTAATGTTTACAGCCGCGAACAATAGCCTTGACTGTGAATGAAGCTTCTAAACTCACCTAAACGAAACATCGAGACCGTATTATTTAGGTGTTCGAGACGGAATATGAAACGCCAGAAACAAAGAATTTTGCCGTGATTGTACATCCAGACACACAATCATAGATACACGCGCAAACCAATTTTTGAGAAACGCTACAAACAAAAAAAAATACCGTGATTGTACACCCAGACACACAATCATAGATACATGCAGCCATATGTATTGAAAAATGCCTATATTTTCATGTATATTGCCCATTCTATCATTCGTAGCCTGTCCACAGTCTGCATAAACATACTAAGATATATGGACAGCTAAGATATGCAAATGCCTGCAGAAGTTTGTGCGAATTAAGGCCGTGTCACACTAGCACTTTTTCCGTCATTTTTTTACCATTATATTTAACATAAATACAAACATTCTCGAATATAGCTCTTGATCTGACTTTTCTTGGCTGAAAAAGTTGACGGAAAGGTTTTCAGACGGAAACGATCATTGTCGTTTGACTAGAAAATCGACAATTCGCTCAAAAATGGAGAAAATTTTCAGAAAATTGTCTAAAAATTGACGGAAAAAGTGCTAGTGTGACAGCACCTTTAGCTTATTGTGGCGAATCCGAAAAGTGCTTTCTGTAATTTCTGAAAAATGCGTATTTTCAGGCAATCCTAAGGAGACACGGTATCGCCTCGCAGAATATAAAGGCAAGATCTCTGCTTTTGGGTTAAATGTGCACACACACACATATATCTATATATCTATCTAGCTATCAATCTATTTATATATATTATCATACGCACAACACACACAACACACACACACACACACACAAACACACAATAATACACATAATATATATAATATATATATATATATATATATATATATATATAATATTATATATATAGATTTGAATATGCATATATACACACACACAATATATATATATAGTGTGTGTATGTGTATATAAACTTACACTCATACACAGACACACGCGCACACACACACTCCATAATTTATCATTCTTCCGCACACTCCATTATCAGTAAACCAACGAATATTTATCTTAAAGATAAGAGGTTTAATTGCAACTTTTACAAAATGCTTGCACGCTAAAATGGCGCCAACAGTAACACCCAATAAGACTGAAATTCATTTACATATTTTGATTCCGGATTTACCTTGTTACCTTACTCTCTTTAGGTAAGTTAATTATTTCCATCCTGCCTGATCCAAATGACTGTTCTTAGGGGGAAAAAATACCCCAGGAAAGCCCCAAGAATTTGTAAAACTCTTTTTTCCGAACTGGCTGTTTGTCGATCCCAAAATGGCGGCCGGAAATCTTGCTGTGAAAAGAAAAAAGATATTTCGCTCGAGTTGACGCATTTTTGTTCGTATTAGGTCAGCGTCTTTAAAGCTGACTTCCTCATCTGGATCAGCAGGGTTAGAAAACTTTCTTTTTCTCTCTCTCTGTCTCTCTATCTATCTCTATTTCTATTTGTTTCTTTCTCTATCTTTCTTTTTTTCTCAATCTCTTTTTTTCAATCTTTCTCTCTCTCTCTCTCTCTCTCTCTCTCTCTCTCTCTCGTCTCTCTCTCTCTCTCTCTCTCTCTCTCTCTCTCTCTCTCTCTCTCTCTCTCTCTCTCTCTCTCTCTCTCTCTCTCTCTCCTCTCTTCTCTCTTTCTCTATCTCTATCTATC